TTGAAGGGATTTTGCAAATAACTTCAAATCATTCTTCAATCCAGTGAAATTAGGTTTAACCTTTAAATACTTACATCTGTGGATAAAGTGTTTGCCTAACACAATCAGGTTATTTATGAAAAATTCTACATTTTTATCATTTATAAACACTCTACCTTTAATTGAGGTCACATTCAAAGGATGCAGCGATATATCTTTAGATTGCATCCAACTTTGAAATGAAAGCCAAAATTCATATACAAATTCACACTGAAAGAAAATATGTTCTACTGTTTCAATGGCTTTCTCACAAAATCCACATTAATTATTTTCCCAATTAAATTTAAATAGACTCTACTATAGCCACATAATAAATGAGCTCATATATAGCCTATAGACAGAGCTGGAGCTGGGTAGTAACTCATTACATGTAATCTGGATTACGTAATCAGATTCCAAAAATTAAGTACTTGTAAATTACATTTTAAAATACCTTTAATCAGAGTTACTTTTTTATTGATTACATGATTACATATTATTCACACAATAGCAATAAATTATTCATAATGTATTAATTCTCCCTAATTCCTCTCTTTCTCCAGTTTCACATAAATCCAGTCACTAGTCAGCTGGCCACACAGCATTTGTCCACTGGATTTACAAAAATCATTTCAGTTTTAATAAGTGTTTTCTCAACATTGCATCAACTGCTGATGAACACACTCATTTTCTATTTGAATTATCGCTCAGTGGGTTATTTAACCATGTATTATTATGTCTTTGGAAGGCTTTTGTCTTTCAAATGCACATATTTACGTTATTTCTTAATTGCATAAGAAACGTTTCTGTCATCTGAACCTCCTGAACTTTACTTGAAGTCCCCTTGAGATTTTAAAACAAATATTTTAATTATTAAGAATCAAATTTGCATGTTCAGGGTTCTCTGAGTAATGGTCACATGACATGCAGGTAAACAAATACAATATTTAGTTAGTAGTTTTATTTTGATTGATGTTAGCCTATTTTCAAATGTAAATTTTTATGATTTAATTAATGATTTGCTTTTCATTAAACTCACGAACCAGCTCCCCTCATGAACCCGTTTGCGAACCCTTGATGTAATGTAATGTTTAATGCGCTTCATGTTGTAAATAACAACAAATGGAACATATTTTCTTTGCATTTTTACATCAATATGTTACCATTATTATGTCTTTGGAAGGCTTTTGTCTTTCAAATGCACATATTTACGTTATTTCTTAATTGCATAAGAAACGTTTCTGTCATCTGAACCTCCTGAACTTTACTTGAAGTCCCCTTGAGATTTTAAAATAAATATTTTAATTATTAAGAATCAAATTTGCATGTTCAGGGTTCTCTGAGTAATGGTCACATGACATGCAGGTAAACAAATACAATATTTAGTTAGTAGTTTTATTTTGATTGATGTTAGCCTATTTTAAAATGTACATTTTTATGATTTAATTAATGATTTGCTTTTCATTAAACTCACGAACCAACTCCCCTCATGAACCCCAGTTTGCGAACCCTTGATGTAATGTAATGTTTAATGCGCTTCATGTTGTAAATAACAACAAATGGAACATATTTTCTTTGCATTTTTACATCAATATGTTACACAACTGTCCTGTTTAAATCAATGTGATAAACAAGTCAGGTCAAAAGTAATCTGATTATATCAACTAAAATATGTAATGGATTACGTTACTAATTACAATTTTTGTTATGTAATTTGGAATCAGTAACGGAGTACAATTTGTAAGTAATCTACACAATATAGATTTTATTCATATTTTAAACTATATCTGTATCGCATTGTATCATATGTATCTATCTAATGTAATTATGCCATATTTATTTCAAGTGTCAGTCTCTGCATGCCTGGTGAACACATGATGGAAGATCAATTAGTCTGCTCTCATTTAGCCCAAGGGAGAATCTGCATTATAAGGCCAACGATAGACGCACATATCACGAGACCAGAAGAGCTGAGAATATCATTTTCATTCACAGGGACAGTTTTCTCATCTGAACGTCCAACTGTTGGTAATTTCTGAATGCAAGTCATTTTATATAAATACCGCACTCAAAAATGTAGCTCCCCTCATGAACCCGTTTGCGAACCCTTGATGTAATGTAATGTTTAATGCGCTTCATGTTGTAAATAACAACAAATGGAACATATTTTCTTTGCATTTTTACATCAATATGTTACACAACTGTCCTGTTTAAATCAATGTGATAAACAAGTCAGGTCAAAAGTAATCTGATTATATCAACTAAAGTATGTAATGGATTACGTTACTAATTACAATTTTTGTTATGTAATTTGGAATCAGTAACGGAGTACAATTTGTAAGTAATCTACACAATATAGATTTTATTCATATTTTAAACTATATCTGTATCGCATTGTATCATATGTATCTATCTAATGTAATTATGCCATATTTATTTCAAGTGTCAGTCTCTGCATGCCTGGTGAACACATGATGGAAGATCAATTAGTCTGCTCTCATTTAGCCCAAGGGAGAATCTGCATTATAAGGCCAACGATAGACGCACATATCACGAGACCAGAAGAGCTGAGAATATCATTTTCATTCACAGGGACAGTTTTCTCATCTGAACGTCCAACTGTTGGTAATTTCTGAATGCAAGTCATTTTATATAAATACCGCACTCAAAAATGTATTTATATCCAATAACACATTTTAGAGTACAGCTATAGAAATTGCATATCCATTATTCACTCTTCCAGGCATATAAATCATAATTTTACAAATTTTGTGGCCTTTCCAGGTTTTCCATGACTGTGTTGCATAAAATACAAAAACATAAAATAAACACAAAAGACAACAGAAGTGAACAAAAACATTTTAACGACAGCTTGCACAGTTTTTATTCTTCATCAAAACTGATCCATCTCTAGTTTAAAAAATAGACAGTCTTCTATGAGCAGATACTAGAGCACTACATGCATGCCACTATAATTTAGGGCTGTTACCCAAATGTTTTGCATGTTTAAGACTTGAACTACATACTCCAAACACACATATACAGCCTGCTCCACCTGAATGAGACACAACATACAAACACAACACTGGATATGGATACACATCACAGTGTACTTGCACATTAAACATTGAATCTGAAACACTGAATCTCCAATTCAAAGATATGACAGAAATGAGCTGAAGATATCCTTACTGAAACACAGAAACTGAAATCAAACATTACTGAAATTAATTTATGAGTTACTAACATTCGGCAACATAAAATACGTTCAATAAGTGCAAAGAAACTCATAAAATGTAATACTTCCCGCTTAAAATAGTGCTGATTATGCATTCATACATATAATTCAAGCAAAGAACATTGAATGATTAGCAAGAAGCTGGATCTCTACTGCATTTTATATCGCAATTCAATCTGTATACATTAAACGTTCAGGCTTAGCTAAATAAAAACTTTTTTTTTTTGCATTTATGCATGTTTTTTTAGGATTTGGATGGCGTGATATGATACATTACAGTCCATTATTGAACTGAAATTAAGATACAGTGCATTTAACATGTAGAAAATAAATTGTGTCATAATTTACTCGGCCTCGTGTTGTTCCAAAACAAGATTACTTTCCTTATTATGTGCACAAAAACACATTTTTAGGATTTTTTCCCGGTCTGTTCTGTGTACTGAAAGCATATAGTGACTTTTATATATTGGGACATATATAGGCTACATATAGGGCTGTCAAGCTCTATAAAGTATATATATATATATATATAAGGAGTTGATATGACTATATTTCTGTATTTTAAGTGTGAGGAAAAGACCCAAATGAATCTGTTATTCACTGAAAATGTCCCTCTCAAATCTTAAGCGTATATTTAAACTGGCTGCGCATCAAGCTTGAAATCATGAATATGCGGATTGTGTAAATCAGAAACGAGATCTACAGTATCTGTTCTCAATCTGTTCACAAAAAATCTGTGTAACTGTAAAACATAGAATGCAGTGCAGTTTTTTTCATTATTATTATTTAGTTTAAATCTAACTTTAATGGTGTTTTTTTTGTTCTTTTAGCAGCTCTGACCACTTGACTTTCACGGTATAAAAAAAAGCAGCCAATTTGTTTGGCAAAATCTCTCTGTTTGTGTCCCACTATAGAAAGAAAGTCATATACGTGGCTTGGAACAACGAGAGAACACTATAGTGTATAGTCAATAAAGACAGGATGTTGATTTCTGATTTAAAAGAACACTGGAATGCCAATGAAACTCGCTAAATGCCCCAGAAGTATTTCTGTTTCCACTGGAGGTTTATGAAGAGCTCATGTGGAAACTATATATTTTTCCCAATTGGCACAAAGCTGCATAGAAGAACTACGGAAGCCCATTTCTGCCACTGAATAAAAAAGAAAAAAGTTATTTGTGATAACTTTTTTTCTCCGAATTGTACGATATAAACTCGCAATTGCGAGTTACAAAGTCAAAAATGTGAGATACAAACTCACAGTTCTGAGATATACACTTGCAATTCTGAGAAATAAAGTCAGAACTGTGAGATACAAACTAATAATTCTGATACAAACTCACAATTCTGATACAAACTCACTATTCTGATACAAACTCACAATTCTGAGAAATAAAGTAAGAACTGCGAGATACAAACTCATAATTCTGATACAAACTCATAATTCTGATACAAACTCACAATTCTGAGAAATAAAGTCAGAACTGCGAGCATTTTGATGACCCTCACGATACAAAATCACAATTCTGATACAAACTCATAATTCTGATACAAAATCACAATTCTGAGATATAAACTGACCAACCAAAAAAAATCAATCAAATTTTTCTCTGAATTGTGAGTTTATTGTCTGACTTTATAACGCAATTGTGAGTTTATATATATCAATATATCACGCGACTGTGAGAAAAAAAGTCAGAATTTTGAGATAAAAGTCACAATTAGCTTTTTTTATTTTTAACAGAGGGATTCGGGACAGAGAAATTTTGATCGCTCTCGGCTGGGCAAACCATGAGAAATCCCAGGGGTCATATTTCACCCCATAATGAACAGAAATAAATTATATTTTGCATTTAAAAAAAAACATTTTGATGACCCTCACCGAGTTCTTGTGACTGTAATGAGAAAACAATGATATATCAGTGTGTTCAGCACCAGAAAAGACAGTGACAAATATCTAACACCTTGCTGGAATCACATCGACAAAGGTGGTTTTGATTTAACATGAAAGTCTGATCCTCATTTCTTGTAGATATTAATAATTACTGCAGAAAATGCAAACTTCGGTCTTGATGAAACTGACAGAATCCTTCAATACTAAACTTCATTTCCTGCATCAGAACAGCTTTCCGCCGATATGAAAAGCATCAAAATAAACCTCGAGATACGTTTTCAATCGATAAATATACACAATAAACATGACATCTTCACTGGAGCTCGGGTCGGATCTTTTAGTGCACTGGAGGAGCATCACATCTCCGTTACGGCCTACATGAAGGGACGTCTATCACAACTGAATGGATCTTACAGCCACAGCATCTGTCAGCATCTGCAGTCGTGGCGAGCCACTCTTATGAAGCCATGGCGTCTTTGAAGCCCCAAACCTCCAGCAGAGCGATCTGGAAGCTCTCAGCGCACAGCGGCGGGTTGTCGAAGGTCAGGCAGCGCTCGGTTCGGCCGTGGTTCAGCTCCGAGTCGATGTACAGAGCGTTACCTTCGCCTCCTCCTTCACAAACAACACCACGCATCCCATTACAGAGAATCAGCTAGTCATAATCTAATGTCTTCCTTTCTATACTCCACCAAAGAAACCGAGGCTAATTTGACTTGAGGAAGTTTCAACTAGGGCTAAAAAAATGATACCTCAACATTCAAAACAAACATCACTTCATAAACACATTATGTACTTGATTGATTGATTAAATAAACCACTACTTTGATTAAACGGCCTCAGTTGTTAAGTGCATTCATTTTGCATATATATATATTTGTAATATTTTAACTTTTGTTTTTTAAAAGTTTTTTGGTTTTATTATTAAATATATTTTAAAATTAGCAATATTATTAAGCAGCAATATTTATTCACAAAAAGAAACAAAATTAAGTAAAAATCAAGTTTAATTGAATATATATTCACAATATTATTGTACTGTATTTTTGATTAAACAAATGCAGCCATGGTGAGCATAAGAGGCGTATTAAAAAACATTTTTTTTAAAGTTTTAAAACAGAAGAGAAAAAAAAAAAAATATATATATATATATATATTAATATAAATTATTATATAATATATGCATCGAGACATCGAGACATAAATGTAGATATAATTGAACATATTACATTTATATTTTTGTCAGTTATTATAATATAATATATATATATATATATATAATTTTTTAATTTTTTTACTAATATATTATTTAATTTTTTGTTGTATTCCAATATAATACTGCAATACTGGCCCACATGCAAGTATTTACCTACCTGCATGATGTAAAATGGGCCTCATGGAAATTTCTTTGAATATTTGTGAATAACAATGCAAACTAATTGTTGAATATGAGTCAAAACATTTATTTTGCTAATGATGTTTAAATCAGACATGCTATTAAAATATTTCCATCTTAACTCTAATGACAGTGTTTTTAGGAAACTTGACTGTCAAACATAAAGCACATTAATTCATTGTGCTGGTTAATTTTATATCAGCAACAGAATTATATTGAACATATTGTACTTATTCACTTCTTTGAATATGAATATTTAAATGCTCCTTTTATTATCAGTGTAAAAGATAGCCCTAGTGTTTGATTTCAAGTGAAGAGAAAAATAGTAATAAAAGAAATCAGATGTGTGTGAAATGAGCATCTCACGCACCGATAATGATGGAGTCGACGTTTCCCGCCATAAACATGGAGGTGTTCCTTGAGTTGAGGTTGAAGTGTCGCGCGGACAGAAAGGGGGACAGGTGAGAGGGGTCTGTGGCCGGTTTCTCTAGAGACTGTGGTGCACCGGTCTGTTCATCGTCTGTGGACTGAGCCGCGTTCGCCAGCTCCGGGTGTTTGATAACCACCCACTCGTAACGCTCCATCTCCGGCTTCATCTGAAACAAACACGAAACACACACCATTTAACACATCTCACACAACGGCAACACCCAGACGGTTTCAGTGGTTAGTCTTGTGGTCAGAGCTCAAGACGTGAAATCTGAATACATGCTGCGGTGGCTGAATTGTGGTTAAAGGTCTGAACTGCTCAAATCTACAAACATTGTGCCCTTATCCACACTGATTTTATAGCTCTATAACTTTACAGTAAGACTGTGATTAATCTGTGTCCTTAATATTCCTACAAAGGAATCTTGGCAGAAATATCTTTTGACAGAAAGAAACATAACTAAGAACTCTATTATATCTTGAGTTACCAAAGAGCTCTAAAAGGTTCTTCTGAGAGTATAAGAGGATGAAGCGATGATGGATGAGAGGAACACGACACACTAACACACTGCAATCTAGTCTAATACTCAAGAAAATAGTGCCGCCTAGTGGATCATAAATGTACAAATAATTTCAGGATTAAGGATGACCCCAATTTGACTCTCAATACCTTAATTTGATTACTTATGTCCTTTATTATTATTTACCTATATATTTATTATTATTATTATTATTTACAAATAAATGTCATGAAAAGAACATACTCTGAAGAGAAAACACTCTCCAGTGCCAAAGAAGCTGAGCTTGTTCCCGCCCCTCTTCCGCTCCTCCCAATCAGTGGACAGGAAGGCTCCACACACCTGGAATATGATTGGATGAGAGGCACGTCAATCACACAGTACCTGAGATCTTGAACAACTTCCCTGCATACAAGTTTGCTTACTATTAATCCTACATAATATGCAAGAATGACAAAATACACACATATATATACAATATATATATATAGGTTTTATATATGAGACATTTGGTGGTTTTATATATATATATAT